ATGTATATATATTAAGTTAATCTTGAGTCAACTCGATCAGCTCAAAAATCAAATATATAATTCTAAGCAAAAGATATTTAGATTAGTGGTGGCATTCTCCGTCTATATTTCTCCACATTGCCTTCACTTCTTTCACGTTCCTCCTATACCCTTTAATCCTTCTTTTTTTCTTTTCCACCTCCTGTCCACTTTCTCTTTCTCCAACTTCACACTCTACCCTCCCTCCATTTTAAGCCTTCCCCTCCCCAACCTCTTTTCTCATCTCTCTCTCTCTATCTATCTCAATCGCCCTCTCTCTCTCCCTCTCTTTCTCTCCTCTTTCATACTTCTTCTTCTTCTATCTGTAAGTGTGTCTCAGCCTCTCGTAATTTATTTTCCTGCTAAAATAGATGAAAAAAATGATTTTTTTTTCTTTTTGTAGTTGAAAATTTCATTTTTGAAGAAAAGTTCTGATTTTTTTCTCACTATATAATTAAAAACGTCATTTTTAAGTTCCTTTAAAAAGGCTTGCAGAGTTTAAAACTCATTATGATTTAGAAAAAAAATCTAAAATAAAAAAGTATTTAAGAACATATTCTCAAACACCGAATTAACCAATCAAACAAACCTTCAAAAACTATCAATTTTTATTTTTGTATTCTCTTCTTCATTTAAATATTTTCAAAATATTTTTTTTTCTGATTAATTTTTGTAATGTGATGATAAAGGGGCTTTAATTTCTTCAGCCACAGACATGCAGTGTGAAGACCCCTTTGCTTTCATTGACGACTTACTTGACTTCCAAAATGAAGACGATTGGCTAGCAATGATGGATGGTTGCGACAATGGAGATCAGATAGCTCCTCTGCAAACTCCGGAAATCGCCGGAAGAGTTCATGACAGTCCAACCGCCGTCGCCGGCAGCCGGATTAGTTCGGAAGAGGATGCGCTGAGAAGCATGGTAAGTACTACTGTTGATTATTTGAAATTCCTCCTGTTCTGTTTCTATTCAAAAAAATACTCTTCCAAATATTCCAAAAGAATTTTCTTTAAAATTCACTGTGCTTCAAAAATCATGGCCATCATCATTTAATTTTTTTCTTAAACTTTATGATTGATGAAAATTTCATATGCTAAGATCTAATTTATTCAAATTTTTTGCAGCTGCAGCGCGATGATATTGAGATTATAAATCTGGATTGGCTTTCAAACTTCATTGAAGAGTCTGATCTCAACTTTCTCAATCCTATAGCATTCATATCACAGAGCCCAACCCCTATTCTTGAGAACAATAAAGCCTCCACTTCCTCAACCCCAGACCCGCCCACAAGCCGAACCCGAACCCAAACTAAAGGCCCGCGGGCTCAAGTCACCCGACCTATCTCCCCCTCCTCCCTAACCCTATGGGTATCCAAGCCCGAAATTATGGAAAAGACACAAAAAAGTAATGTGGTTGATCGCGATAGGCTGAAGAAGTGTTTGCATTGTGAGAGTCATAAAACACCGCAGTGGCGGGCCGGACCAATGGGGCCCAAGACATTATGTAATGCTTGTGGTGTTCGCTACATGTCAGGTCGGCTTTTCCCTGAGTATCGACCCGCTACAAGTCCAAAGTTTACTCCTTTTGTTCACTCGAATTCTCATAAGAAAGTGGTGGAGATGCGGCAGGAAAAGGCTAATCTAAGCTCACCCAATGGTGATGTGGCGAAATGTGAATTGCTTGATTACATAAGGAATAAGTAAATGTGGCAAATCAAAAGTCAGCTTCTTTTTATTATCATGATGGGTCTAAGATATATGTATAGTCCATCATACTAATCTTAAAGCAAATCCCACGACTTATAGATCCATCATGGCTAAAATTTGATATTATATGACATGGGAAGGGGAGAGCCAAAAAAGGAAGGAAGCAATAGATAATTGAAGTAGTTTATGAAGGATAATGATTTATAAAATGTGTAAAAAGCTTTATTTCGTTCTTGTTTGACAAGTTGATTGATTGATAATTTGTTTATTTAGAATTTTTTATATACCACAAAGATTATGTCTATACTTATTCAAAAGAGTTATAGGGACATTTACACGCATACCGCCTAATTCTTATGTATTTATATATCTAACACTTTT